ACCATCAGTAATGGTGTTAATTATATTGTATTGATGGTGTTAATTATATAGTACTGGTTGCTTTGATGTCCAAAGGGGTTAAGAAGGATGGGGGAGGAAGAGATATGGGGAGGTGAAATTCTGGAAGAGGATGCGGGTGTAGAGAGAGAGAGAGGAGGTTTGAAAGTTGGGTGGCCTGTCCATGGGTTGACATATGTGTGTGTCGTTTGTTTGGGTATGTGGCATGTTGGGTTGTCAGTACATTGGCTGGGTGGCTAGTGTTTGCGTCCTAGCTGGTGTCTTGAAGCCCTAGAGCCGCTGCAGTTGGCTGCAGGAGATTAATTTTAGCAACATCAGGGTGCAGGAGATTAATTTTTTAGCAACATCTTTTTAGGGTAGTTTACACTTCTGGTAGCAATATAAAATATATTTTTGTTATATATATTTCTTAATTTTATTTATTTTGTATATATATATACCATATATATGCAAGGCCCGATGCCTAATAGGCCAAGTTTTACTGAATTATATATTTTCTCTATTTTTTTCTTATGAAATGATAAAGCTACTCATTTATTATATATATATAAAATAACGTAGATATATACCAATATATATATATATATAGGTTAGGTAGCCGAAAAAGTTGTGTTGTTAGGTGTATATACTATACGACATATATATATATATATATATATATATATATATATATATATATATATATATATATATATATATATATATATATATATCGTATATATATATAACTTTTTAGACACAACCTAATTTTTTTTTTATGAAATGATAAAGCTACCCATCTGGTTGAAGTTATAAGCTGAAGTTATAAACTTCAGCTACTGGAATAGGTAGTCTGTGCTTATTATATATATATATATATATATATATATATATATATATATATATATATATATATATATATATATATATATATATATATATATATATATATATATATATATATTTTATTTTTTTTTTAATTATTTATTCTTCATAAGGTAAAGATCGGGTGTGGGATTGGCCACTCATCTGGGTCGTCTGGCAGGCCACTTAGTATTTGAGGTCTTGGGAAGGCCTGATCATGGATGGCCTTCATGGCTTTGGGGTCCTTTAATCCGGTCCACCCGGTGGTCATCGAGATTCAACATTGGCTGTTTCTTATCTCCAGTAATTTTAAGTCGGTAGAGTTTTGCTGGGCTCCCAGCCATGTTGATGTCTCCCTAAATGAGCGTGCGGATGCTGCCGTTAAGGAATCTATCCGCACTTGTCCCATCTCCCGTAAAGGGATTCCTTATTCCGACTTTTACCCGGTTATTCATGCCTCTTTCCTTGCCAGTTGGCAGGGTTGTTGGTCTTCTGTTACTGGTAACAAACTGCTTACTATTAAGAGTCGTGTGTCCCAGTGGCCTTCCTTCTACCACCGTAACCGGCGGTGGGAAACGGCGCTAGCTAGGTTACGTATTGGCCATACACGTTTAACTCAGTCATTAATGGAGCACCGCCCTGCTCCTTAGTGTCCAAATTGTGTTGTTCCTCTTACGGTCGTGCACATTCTTGTTGAATGTCCTGACTTCCAGGACGAGCGTGTGTTTTGCTTTCCGACCGTCCCTTGCGGTCAGTTGTCCCTCGATAGAATTCTTGGCGAATCTGATACTTTTGACATTCTTCGCATTATGCGTTTTTGTTCTCGTATTGGCATCCTTGGTGATATTTAGCGCCCTCTGATTACTCCGCACATTTGATGGTGCTACATAGCCTTCCCGGTTAGGTGCCTTCTTTTGATAATTACTTACTTAGGCCATCGTCTCGGGCCTAGTTCGTGACAGAACGCAGAGCACTTCCTTTACCTGTGGACCACCGTCTCTAGTGCCATAGTTGGGGTCTGGAAGCCCATGTGGCCATTTACTTGTGGTCCACCGTCTAATGTCATAGTTGGGGTCTGGAAGCCCATGTGGCCATTTACTTGTGGCCCACCGTCCTAATTACCGCGTTGAGAACAGGAGGCCATGTTTCAATATTTTGCATGTTGAGTTTTGTCAGGCATCATTTAAACTAATGCACGGTTTTCCTGAAAGAAGAGTTTTTTGTTTGTTATGAATAGTGGCCTGGCATCCTAGAAGTTCCTGTTTATTGCATGTATCAGGTTAGACATATTGAAGAAAAAGAACCCACTCTTGAGTGGTAAATCTTGTACACTATTTTAAATGTGCAAGATCGCTGTCTTGTTTGGAAGAGTAATTAGTCCAGTGGCTCTTAATCTCTCCTGGACACGAAGGTGATATTTTTGTATAGCCTTGTGTTGAACATTTTCCACTGTAGCTGAAAATGTCCGAAAACCTTATCTTCTCATCTTCGAGAATCGTCATGGATTGCGGTAAAGATTACCACTTCATCTGTATACAGAAATGTACATGATTGGTTATCCATTCAAAACATACATTACAGACCCGTATTAATATTAGTATTAATGAATAATGTTGTTCCTTCTCTTCGTTTCAGTGACAAAGATAAAGTAGAGGACGATATCACACAGAAGAAAGAGCAAGAAAACACAAATGAGAAAGAAGAAAGAGTGACAAATGTTGAGGAGACAGGGAAGGAAGTGGACGAGGTGAAGGAGAAAGAAGAAAGAGTGACAAATGTTGAGAAGACAGGGAAGGAAGTGGACGAGGTGAAGGAGAAAGAAGACAGAGTGACAAAGGTTGAGGAGACAGGGAAGGAAGTGGACGAGGTGATGGAGAAAGAAGAAAGAGTGACAAAGGTTGAGGAGACAGGGAAGGAAGTGGACGAGGTGAAGGAGAAAGAAGACAGAGTGACAAAGGTTGAAGAAACAGGGAAGGAAGTGGACGAGGTGAAGGAGAAAGAAGAGCCACAACAGGTGGACGTTGAGCAGTCAGAGGCGGCAGTGACAGAAGATGAAGAGGTAATGGCTACGTAAATACACTATTACTATCTCACATTAGAATATTTTAGGGATGTACCAGCTTAGCATGGGAGAAGATAATACAAGGGTATGAACAAAATAAAATTAATATGAGTTAAATTTTAAATTATCTTATTTTCCATATGGATGTACAATCTGTTCTCGGTCTGAAATATACAAATATGACGTATACTCATCTTACTATAACGTTTCTTGTTCGAAACGCTGTGCGTATTAGTGGCTTTAGGCATAGTATGTACCAGCTCTTATCCAGAAATCCAACATTCTGTTTGTAACTCATCTTGTATTTATGTACTTTTACCTGAATAAACATTTGTTATTACAGTATTATAATCCGGGATCGAGCCCTGAACAAAGTGCCCTTAAAGTTGCATCTTCGCATCCCACCACCAGAAGCCTGGAACTTCGCTCTAGCAAAATGGGACCGCTTTCAAAACTTCATCTCAGAGTGGCATAGAAACTATGTTGTTCCCGAAGACATTAATCAGGCAGAACAAGATTTTGTCAAAGCAATTCAAAGTGCAGCAAACCCCCCAATTCCACTGAAAAACAGTCCACCAGACACCACAAAGGTCACTGGTACTATTGCGAACGTGTCAAAGAAGTCAGTCATAGACTCAACAGCACAAGGAAGCTATACAAACAGTAGCCAAGTGACCGAAACAGGACCCTACTCTGTGAGGTCAAGGAAGATGTGCATCGAGAGACCAGGATAATCAAAGAACAATAGTGACTGGAATGGATGTGAAAACACCTCTCTTAATAGATGTAGCAGCAGATCCACAGGGCTAAAAGAAATAAAACATCAAAAGCCCCATACCCCAAGGATCCTAAACAGGAAGCTGGAGTACTGGCAACCAAACTTCCAGAAAGATCATCCAGCAATCAGCTTCCACCAGATGTACTAGCAGTGCAGAAAGGATTAGAGGAAGAAAGGTGGCGCAGAATCCTAACAGCATGTGCAGAAGGCGCTGATACTGATACCTCTTTCACATTGGCTGAGTTCAATCAGGCTAAAAAATACCTCCAAAGATACATCCCCTGGAGACGACAAAATAACCTATAAAATGATTAGGAACCTCGGCCCATAGGGAGACGCTGCATATCTAAGGTTAATTCATTTAGCCTGGACTTCCCAAACTAGACTTACAGCTTGGAATAAGGCAGACATAGTTCCGATCCCAAAACCCAAAGCTCCAGCTAATCCAAGCCCATTTCTCTCCAAAGCAGACGGCTGACAGAATGGCACTCAATAGACTTGAGTGCGGAAAATGCCTAAACTGCACCGTGACAAGTATGACTATTGAAAAGGGGTTGGCACAGTGGAATGTATTACCACTCTGTTTGCCCAACTAAATGACAGACCATCTGTCGAGAAAAGCCTTTGAACTGGCTTGCGCCCCTGCTCTTCTCTGCTGCCTCATCGACAAAGAGGTCCAAAGCAACCTGCTCTCTTGGACCAAAAACTATCTCATAAACAGAGAAGCAAGAGTGAAACTTCTTGGCACAGCCTCTGAATACAAAAGACATGAAAACGGTACACCGCAAGGAGGCATTCTCATCCCCCTATTTTTCAACTGTTTAATGGAAAGAATAATGAGACAAACTCCCACGACACTGTAGGCTGTTAAACTACGCGGACGACTTTGTCATCATCAGAAAGGAAGGGATGTGGCGCGCCTAAGTACCCAAATGCTTAGACTGCATCAGTGAAGAGGCAAAGCAGATTGGTAAAAAATTCACTCCCACCAAGAGTGAGAGTGAGAGACAAAGGCTATGCCCATAAAAATAGTGAAGCCCAACAACCAATTGAAAGTATTGCAGGGTCAACCAATAGTGGGTGGACACATCAGTATCTAGGAATAATCCAGGACACGCATAAATTTTTAATGCTGAAGTCACTTACTTGACAGAGAGAGAACTGCGGCCCGGACGACAATCCTCAGGTCGCTAACCTCCCTCTCTGGAGAAGCCAGTCTGCAAGTCCTTCGCACATATTATGTACAGGCAGTCAGATCAGTGATCGACTATGCCGCACCTGCACTCACAAGCCTATCACAACAGTGGAAAAAGCTTGAAGTAGCACAAAACAATGCTATGAGAGCTGACCTGGGAGCCCCATGTGGACCAGGCTTGAAACTAAGAATGGAAACGGGTCTGCCCCTCTCTTCAAGAAAGAATATCTCAGAGAACAGTTATAATTATCAGTAAGATAATCGATAAATATATATGATCCATTCCCAGTACCACAGGCCTTGGTGGTTGGACTTGGCCAAAACAATGGAAACTCTTGGGCTGCCAGAGCGGGGAAGTCCTAATCAGGTTACAATTAAAAAGCACGATTCTTGATAGAGAGGGTAATCATCCACACTCAAAATACACTTGTTCTCTATCATGGGAGGAGCCTACCTTCAAAATAGTAATAGAACGTCTTTCGATGAAAAAGGCTGCCTATGATCTAACAATCCTAGGCGTATCATAGAAAAGCAAATGATATTGCAGTAGCAGGAGCCACCCATATCTTCACAGACGTATCTGTGAACACAGAATATTAGAGTGCTGGTGGTGCTCCTTGCACGGGCATCGAACAAGCCTATTTGAGACTGGGAGGACCAGTATCATCAACCTAAACTGAGCTGTTTGCCATACAACAGGCATTCGCATATGTATTTTGTACAAAACATTCAACATGCAATCATACTCGCAGATTCAAAAGCTACACTTCAAATATTAGGAAAAAAGCAGTGAAAATAATTACCACCATTTTGTATCTAGTAGGTAGGTAAAGGTAAATGACCCTTAACTGGATCCCATCACTATTGGAATCCCATTAGACGAGAAAGCCGATGAAACTGTTAAATTGGCAACTCGTCATCCAGTGATCTACAAAAGAATCCAATCCAGCCTAGAGTACATCAAAAACACCATCACCAAAATACTCGTACACCTCAACAAAGTCTATCTAGAACAGAGAGTAGCAGGTGGTTCGCCCTTTGCAAAATGGTATCTTCAGGCCACCAAGTTAGACAGATTAAATATCCCGAAAGGAATCCACAGGGAAATAGCAATTCGGTTATATGGACTACGTCCAGGTTACATATGCAACTGGGAAATTGGTGAACGAAGAGATTGGGAATGTACCTTCTGCCAAACAGCCTCAGAAAAACCACTACTTCACTATCTCCTAGAATGTGAAGCAACAACGACCTTAAAAGTGCTTTAAGAGTCCCTGAATCTTGCAATAACCTCCCTGATGGCATCAACAAAGTTGATGCCTTCAACCAGATGCCAGTTGATGGTTCTCTCATCTCTTCTGGTAAAAAAAAAAGCTTCCAGCAGCTGGACACCCTCATAAATACTGTCAAGCAGTATCCTCCCCTGTGATAGAAGCCACATAGTAAAGACTGACGATTTAAATGTGAACTCAGCACGCATTATATCCTTTCACGGCCAAAATTCACATTCACATTCACTCCAAAAAATCTACCACCTACGGGCTATTAATGCCCGTGCCAACTCTTAAATGGCTTAATCTTCATAAATCAATTAATCCTTGTTGATCTTAATCTTCATAAATCAATCAATCGATCCAATGTTTATGCATTGTTCGGTGCAAGTACTTCATTGAACGAAATTTGATTAAGTCTGCCATGATTAACCAATGTCCCAATAGGCTTAATATTAACCTTGGTATGTAAAAATTACATTTGCATCTAAGCTCCAGTATAGCACGTCAGAACACAGTAAGATAAGCATCCCCTGTAAAAGATGTTTATTTTTATTTTATTTTTTTATCTTAGTGTATAATTCAATTACCCGTTTTATGTAGAACGACTGTTGGTACCTTTGAGTTGGTTATATGTATGTTGGAAAACCTTGTCAAGAGTTTTCTGTTGCATGTTGGCTTGGGGACCATTCAAGTTTGATACACGTTACTCATGCGGCCCCCAGCATGCTGAAATTTGATGAAATATCTGCTTAAAATAGTCACGAGCGCTGTCGGGTATTGAGGTTAAAAGTCAGACGACTTGCCAATACATTTGTACAGTCTGTTATAGTACTGGGCATGGAGGCCTTGGCTGACCGGGTTCGAATCCTTCAGGGTTCAAGAGTTTTCTGATATATATATATATATATATATATATTATATATATATATATATATATATATATATATATATATATGTCGTACCTAGTAGCCAGAATGCACTTCTCAGCCTACTATGCAAGGCCCGATTTGCCTAATAAGCCAAGTTTTCCTGAATTAATATATTTTCTCTAATTTTTTTCTTATGAAACGATAAAGCAACCCATTTCATTATGTATGAGGTCAATTTTTTTTATTGGAGTTAAAATTAACGTAGATATATGACCGAACCTAACCAACCCTACCTAACCTAACCTAACCTGTCTCTATAGATTAGGGTCGGTTAGGTAGCCGAAAAAGTTAGGTTAGGTTAGGTTAGGTAGGTTAGGTAGTCGAAAAACAATTATTTCATGAAAACTTGGCTTATTAGGCAAATCGGGCCTTGCATAGTAGGCTAAGAAGTGCGTTCTGGCTACTAGGTACGACATATATATATATATATATATATATATATATATATGTCGTACCTAATAGCCAGAACGCACTTCTATGCCTACTATTCAAGGCCCGATTTGCCTAATAAGCCAAGTTTTCATGAATTAACTGTTTTTCGACTACCTAACCTACCTAACCTAACCTAACCTAACTTTTTCGGCTACCTAACCTAACCTAACCTATAAAGATAGGTTAGGTTAGGTTAGGTAGGGTTGGTTAGGTTCGGTCATATATCTATGTTATTTTTAACTCCAATAAAAAAAATTGACCTCATACATAATGAAATGGGTAGCTTTATCATTTCATAAGAAAAAAATTAGAGAAAATATATTAATTCATGAAAACTTGGCTTATTAGGCAAATTAGGCCTTGCATAGTAGGCTGAGAATTGCGTTCTGGCTACTAGGTACGACATATATATATATAAATATATATATATATATATATATATATATATATATATATATATATATATATACATATATATATATATACATATATATATATATATATATATATATATATAGATATATATATATATATATATATATATATATATATATATATATATATATATATATATATATATATATATATATATATATATATATATATATATATATATATATATATATATATATATATATATATGCTACATACATACATATATACTGTACATACTTTTATTTAATTATTTGTATATTTTTAATAATGTTTACTCGTTATTATTTTTAGGATAAGGCAGAAATCTCATTAAGCGACTCTGATGAAAAATATCTGAAGAAAATGTTCGAAGATATTGAAAAGTTTTCAATCAATGAAAACTTTGAACCGACATGTTTCCTGCTCAACATTTTGTAAGTAGTAGGCTTTGCTTTGTATGCAGTTGAACTAGAGTAGGTGATATCAAATGCTTTTTAGTCAAAAGTTCTAATATATAAGATTACAATCAATATATATATATATATATATATATATATATATATATATATATATATATATATATATATATATATATATATATATATATATATATATATATATATATATATATATATATATATATGCGAACAAGCCTGAATGGTCCCCAGGACAATATGCAACTGAAAACTCACACCCCAGAAGTGACTCGAACCCATACTCCCAGGAGCAACGCAACTGGTATGTACAAGACGCCTTAATCCACTAGACCATCACGACCGGACAAAATGAGGTGATAGCCGAAGCTATTTGAACCACCCCACCGCCGGCACTCGGATGGTAATCTTGGGCATAGCATTTTACCAAATCACCTCATTCTTTGGGGCACACGTGAGGAACACAAATGCGAACAAGCCTGAATGGTCCCCAGGACAATATGCAACTGAAAACTCACACCCCAGAAATGACTCGAACCCATACTCCCAGGAGCAACGCAACTGGTATGTACAAGACGCCTTAATCCACTTGACCATCACGGCCGGACAAAATGAGGTGATAGCCGAAGCTATTTGAATGAGGTGATTTGGTAAAATGCTATGCCCAAGATTACCATCCGAGTGCCGGCGGTGGGGTGGTTCAAATAGCTTCGGCTATCACCTCATTTTGTCCGGTCGTGATGGTCTAGTGGATTAAGGCGTCTTGTACATACCAGTTGCGTTGCTCCTGGGAGTATGGGTTCGAGTCACTTCTGGGGTGTGAGTTTTCAGTTATATATATATATATATATATATATATATATATATATATATATATATATATATATATATATATATATATATATATATATATATATATATATATATATATATATATATATATATATATATATATATATATATATATATATATATATATATATATATATATATATATATATATATATATATATATATATATATATATATATATATATATATATATATATATATATATATATATCTTATGTATATATATATTCATTTACCTGTGGTCCACCGTCCTAGTTACCTCGTTGGGAACTGGAAGCCACGCCTCCTTATTTTGCATACTGTGTTGTGTCAGGCGTCATTTAAACTACTTCACAGTTCTTTTCCTGGAAGAAGAGTTTTCTGTTTGTTATGAATAGTGACCTGGCATCCTAGAAGTTCCTGTTTATTGCATGTATCAGGTTAGACATTTTAAAGAAAAAGAAGCCAGTCTTAAGTGGTAAATCTTGTTCACTTATTTTAAATGTCTGCAAGATCGTTGTCTTGTTTGGAAGAGTAATTAGTCCAGTGGCTCTCTCTCTCCTGGACATAAAGGTGATATTTTTGTTTAGCATTGTATTGAACATTTTCTACTGTTGGTGAAAATGTCCGAAAAATTTATCTTCTCATTTTACTTCGAGAATCGTCATGGATTGCGGTAAAGATTACCACTTCATCTGTATACAGAAATGTACATGATTGGTTATCCATTATTTGACCATCAAGACATACATTACAGACCCGTATTAATATTAGTATTAATGAATAATGTTGTTCCTTCTCTTCGTTTCAGTGACACAGATAAAGTAAAAGACGATATCACACAGAAGAAAGAGCATGAAAACACAAATAAGAAAGAAGAAAGAGTGACAAAGGTTGAGGAGACAGGGAAGGAAGTGGACGAGGTGAAGGAGAAAGAAGAAAGAGTGGCAAAGGTTGAGGAGACAGGGAAGGAAGTGGACGAGGTGAAGGAGAAAGAAGAAAGAGTGGCAAAGGTTGAGGAGACAGGGAAGGAAGTGGACGAGGTGAAGGAGAAAGAAGACAGAGTGACAAAAGTTGAGGAGACAGGGAAGGAAGTGGACGAGGTGAAGGAGAAAGAAGGCAGAGTGACAAATGTTGAGACAGGGAAGGAAGTGGACGAGGTGAAGGAGAAAGAAGAAAGAGTGGCAAAGGTTGAGGAGACAGGGAAGGAAGTGGACGAGGTGAAGGAGAAAGAAGAACCACAACAGGAGGACGTTGAGCAGTCAGAGGCGGCAGTGACAGAAGATGAAGAGGTAATGGCTACAGTAAATACACTATTACTATCTCACATTAAAATATTTTAGGGATAAGCTTAGCATGGGAGAAGATAATACAAGGTTATAAACAAAATAAAATTGATATGAGGAGTTAAATTTTAAATTATATCTTATTTTCCATATGCATGTATAATCTGTTCTCGGTCTGAAATGTACAAGATGGGACACACGCGCACACATATATATTTTCATAGGCAGAGGTAAAGCGGATAGAAATTATCTTGAGGAACTGAATATATAACCAAGAGGGGAAGTGGTGAAATAAGGGGCCTTCCACCTTAATTTATATGTTGGCAGGGACAGTGTTTGCTGGATATTATGTCATGGTCTTGAGGATTGTGAAATGTATCTTAAGTGTGAGCTGCCTGCTAGCACTTGGTTCAGATAGTTTGATATGTAGTGCTTTGCCAATACTTTTCTTGAATTATTTGCATATTTTTAATAACGTTTACCTGTTATAATTTTTAGGATAGGTCGAGCGACTCCAGTGAACTATCTCTGGATACAACGTTGGAAGATCTGGAAAAGATGGAGGAGGATTTATCAGTGATTGAGAATTGTGAAACCGCAGGTTTCCTGCTCGACATTTTGTAAGTTGTTACGCTTTGTTTTGTATTACACTAATATTTTTCGTTTTGTATTACAGATAAATTTTTTCGTTTTGTATTACAGACCAATATTTTTCGTTTTGTATTACAGACCAATATAAAATCTACCACTACTATAAAAAATATTTGACAAAATTATATACAAACAGTTCTACTCCTATCTAGAAAAATTCAACATATTAAGTGGCTAGCAGTTTGGTTTTCATTCCCAAAAAGAGTACCAACAATGCCATTAGTAGTTTGCTTGATATAATCTACATAGCCCTTAACAAAAACAAGTTCTTAGTTGATCTCTTTATTGACGTGAGAAAGCCCTTTGATAATAATAATAATAATAATAATTTTTATTTAGGTAAGGTACATACATAAAGAGATTTACAAAGTTTGTTGGCTTTATAGATAGAGCTAGTACATACAATGCCTAAAGCCACTATTACGCAAAGCGTTTCGGGCAGGAAAAACATTAATGACTACAGCTTAAAACTAATGGGTAAAAAGAAAAGATGTGATGAGTACATATAAAAAATAGAGGTAAAAGAGGGGGGAACATTGTTGAAAAAGCAGCACAAATACAATTACAAATTATTACAGAAAATTACATTCAAACAGCGTTGATTTGAAAAACAAAAAAACAGAAAATATACATGGGTTGACAACAAGGGGGTAAGGTGGCTTACATGGAATTTATTAGGTATAGCTTCGTTTTTAACTTAAACTGGTTGAGAGAGGTACAGTCTTTAACATGGTTGGGAAGGTCATTCCACATTCTGGGCCCCTTGATTTGTAGAGCATTTCTGGTTTGATTTAGTCGTACTCTAGGAATATCAAAACTGTATTTATTTCTGGTGTGGTGCTCATGGGTTCTGTTACAACCTTCTATGAAGCTTTTGAGATCAGGATTGGCATTATAGTTTAGCGTTTTATATATGTATAATACACATGAGAGAATGTGCAGTGACTTAATGTCTAACATATTCAGAGATTTGAGTAGGGGTACCGAGTGATGTCTGGGGCCAGAATTGGATATTGTCCTAATAGCAGCTTTGTGTTGAGTAATTAGAGGACGTAAGTGATTTTGGGTAGTAGAGCCCCAAGCACAAATACCATAGTTGAGATATGGATAGATAAGGGAGTAATAGAGAGTCACCAGGGCAGGGCGTGGTACATAATATCTGATCTTAGAAAGAATGCCCACAGTTTTTGAAACTTTTTTTGATATGTTTAGAATGTGTCCCTGGAAATTCAGCTTGTGGTCAATGAGAATGCCAAGGAATTTGCCATCTAATTTGTTACAAATTTGGGTATTGTTTATACTGTAAACCATAACGACTTTTTACTTAAACTTCACCACTATGGACTCCGAGGCCTTGCTCTGAACTAAATTCGATCCTATCTTATTGACAGACACTAATATGTAGTCATCAGTGATATAACCTTCCCCACTACCATTAAGCATAGGCGTGCCACAGGGCAGCATCTGAGGACCTATTTCATATATGCATCAATGATTGGCCAAGTATCTCTTAGCATTCTTAAACCTATACTATTTGCTAACGATACTACCTTCATCTCTTCAGACCCAAACCCACATACACTAAATAATATTGTAAATAACGAATTAAAAAAAGTCCACTTATGGATGTCAACCAACAAACTCACACTACACATAGAAAAGATGTACTACATTTGATTTGGAAGTAAATCATCAGAGCAAATTAAACTTCAGATAGACAATATTAACATTAGCAATAAAAATGATGGAAAGTTCCTTGACCTATACATAGACAAGAGACTAAACTTCAGCACCCACATAAAACACAGCCAAGATAATATATAAAACTGTCGGTATACTCTCTAAAACCATATATTATGTTCCCCCACTGTGTTCTCTCATTATACTACTCGCTAATTTATCTCTATTTTACATGCGATATCTGCACATGGGGTTCAACCACTGCAGATTACCACAAGCCCATCATCACCTAGCAAAAATCTGCCATCAGAACTAGAACAAATGCTGTCTTCAAACAATGCACAATACCTCTGTTTAAATCGATAAACATAAACTCACTCCACACATTCTCGTATTATTTACATTTACAAAACCTTCTTCATAAATGCTAATCCTGATCTGAAACTCTTCCTTGATAGATGAGCACCACACCAGAAATAAATATCTCTTTGATATCCCCAGAATCAAACTAAATCTGTGCAAACACTCTATGCAAATAAAAGGACTCAGTCTATGGAACTCATTCCTTACTGAATTAACAAATTGTTCAACTTATGCCTTATTCAAAAGTAAAACCAAAAAGTACTTCATTTCATCCTTATAATTTCCTACATTGTGCTTCAAAATCACACTGCATCTTATGCTCACATTCACTCAATATTAGTACTTAAGACATGCTATTTTACCAGTTAAATCATTTCCGTCAATTTATATAGTACTTATTATGTTGAACTCAAATTTTGCTACAATGTACCTATCAATAATCTTACCTTATCTGTTAGATTAAGGACCTGCCCGAAACTCTATGCGTGTTAGTGGCTTTGCACAAATGTAAGACCACTATTGTTATGTATTCTCACAAACCCAATGTACCGTCTTATAAATAAATAAATAAATAAATAAAAAGCATGCAGTTAAAATATAGTAGGTGATATCTATTAATTTTGAGTTAAAAGTTACGTGTCAGGTTGATAAGAGCCTGCATGCCGATGAGAATATTTTTGACACAATTTGGTCAAATAATGTTAAGTATCTACACAAATAAGTCTTAAGTTCATGCTAAAAAAAAATGAAATGACGACGTTTGATACCTGAAGTGTTATTTCACATGAAAGCTTAGTTAGTAACGGTCTATAACAAGGAAATATTAAGTACATTTGAATAAATCCTCGCGAAGTTTAAAGAGATTATTGCTTTCAAAATATAACTAAATATTTGTGATAAAAAAAATTGTCATGAATGTTTTTTTTGTGGTAATTAGACCATGATTGCATAGACTATGCCAATGGAAGTGATTTGATTTAAAGGCCTAAGATTAGCCACAGGATGAGAGCGCGGATATAAATACAGAGAGGTAAGCTCGCTTCTCAGTGTATTTATCATGAGTGTTTATTTTAGTACCGGATTTAGTTCAGAAGTATAGTATACCTAATGGTTGGTCAGAACGCTATTGTGGTGGCCTTTAAAAAACCCTCCAGCGGTAACACCAAATCAGTATTGTTGGTTTAATAGCTGTAAGCGTGTTACTTTGAAATACTTTTAAGATGTTGAAAGACCATATTGGTAATGTATATCTGGTGCGTATTATTTTTTGTATTATCATTTTAATTATATATGCAAGAGTTCTTATATTCTTGTAAGAACTTTTGATATGCTTGCATCTGTCTGATAAAAACTTTATGTATGCTGTTGGGCTTAAAGCCTATCAACTGCGGAAGGGATAAGGCCACCAGATTACTGGTAAACCAGCAAATATGCTTAACTTCTGAAGATATGTTAACTTGTCTTCTCCAATACTTTGGGAAAACTGCACGTACTCTAAATGAGACTCAAGGAACACAAAAGAAGTTTTAAGTCTGCAGACACAAACAATGCTCTCTCCTGTCATGTTAGGGATTCTAATCATCCTATTGATTGGTCTTCTAAAATAATCTTTCCTGCTCTTCACAGACGCCGTCTTGTCGAGTCGGCTCTGATACACAACCTTCACAACTTGAACATTAGTCCTGGCTTTGTTGCTGTTGACTTCCATGTCACAGTATATAAACTCAGTGTATATACATCGAGAAGAGCGATAGACTTTGTATTTATCCCCTATTGAACCCTAGGAGAGCACTTCACTAATATATGTGAACGAAAATTATTGTAGAAATGAGAGATTCGATATGATAATGTACGTGGAAGGCGGTATTTGTGATGCACCAAGAATATATATAATATAAATTATGTCATGAAACAAATACACATAAGATTTTAGATGATCATTTGAGAAGCTCACCTAATAAAAGATTTGAGCACAATACGGCACGATTTTTAATCTCTGAAGATCTGTGAATTGTAAAAGTTGAGTAGGTTGTGACAGAAGAAAGGGATAATTACACATTTAATTTAATAAATACGATTATACAAACTACTGGAACATATCTTGAGGTTACCTTGAGATGGTTTCGAAAATCAGTGCCCTCGTGGCACGGTCTCTTACCAGGTCGCCTGGTTCGTGGTCTGATCAACCAGGCTGTCAGACACTGTTGCTTGCAGTTTGTAGTCTATCCCCAGACCAGATTCATCACCATGAGAAACTACACCCATTATGAAACCATCTAAACAGTTATCTAGTTATTTTTGATGGTCTGAAAGCATATTACAGTTCCAGTAATAGTCTACATGTAAACTGGCAAATGATCTTTTGTCGTGAACAGAGATTATTCTCAAGTTATAACTTTATTTAATAAAAACCGTTGGTTTAAAATATGAAAAGTGTATATTAAATAAATAAATAAATAAATAAATGTTTATTTAGGTAAGGTACACACATACAAGAGATTTTACAAAGTTTGTTGGGTTAATAGATAGAGCTAGTACATACAATGCCTAAAGCCACTATTACGCAAAGCGTTTCGGGCAGGAAAAACAATAATGACTAAAGCTTAATACTAATGGGTATAAAGAATAAAATGTGTTGAGAACAAATAAAAATAGAGGTAAAAGAGGGGGGAACATGGCTGAAAAAGCAGCACAAATACAATTACAAATTATTACAGACAATTACATTCAAACAGCGTTGGTTTGAAAAAAAAACAGACATTGGTTGACAACAGAGGGGTAAGGTAGGTTACAGGGAATTTATTAGGTATAGCTTCGTTTTTATCTTAAACTGGTTGAGAGAGGTACAGTCTTTAACATGGTTGGGAAGGTCATTCCACATTCTGGGTCCCTTGATTTGAAGAGCATTTCTAGTTTGATTAAGTCGTGCTCTAGGAATATCAAAACTATTTATTTCTGGTATGGTGCTCATGGGTTCTGTTACAACCTTCAATGAATCTTTTGAGGTCAGGATTGGCATTGCAGTTCAGCGTTTTATATATGTATGATACACATGAGAGAATGTGCAGTGACTTAATATCTAACATATTCAGAGATTTGAGTAGGGGTACCGAGTGATGTCTGGGGCTAGAGTTGGATATTGTCCTAATAGCAGCTTTGTGTTGAGTAATTAGAGGACGTAAATGATTTTGGGTAGTAGAACCCCAAGCACAAATACCATAGTTGAGATATGGATAGATGAGGGAGTAATAGAGTCACCAGGGCAGGGCGGGGTACATAATATCTGATCTTAGAAAGAATGCCAACAGGTTTTGAAACTTTTTTTGATATATTTAGAATGTGTCCCTGGAAATTCAGCTTGTGGTCGATGAGAACGCCATGGAATTTGCCATCTAATTTGTTACAAATTTGGGTATTGTTTATTTTGAGATTTATTTGATTAGAGGATTTATTGCCAAACAGAATATAGAACGTTTTGTCAATGTTAAGGGTGAGTTTGTTGGCAGTTAGCCAAAGATGGACTTTCTTTAGCTCAGTATTTACTGTGGCATTTAGAGCAAGGGGGTCAGGACTGGAGTAAATGAAGGTTGTGTCGTCAGCAAATAGAATTGGTTTGAGGTGTTGGGAGGCATTTGGAAGGTCATTAATGTAGATGAGAAAGAGGAGAGGGCCAAGTGTGCTGCCCTGAGGAACACCAATGTTGATAGGTAGGGTGGGAGAAATTGTATTATTCACAGAAACATACTGGAGCCTGTCAGTAAGGTAAGATTTGAGGTATTGCAGGAAGTGTCCTCTGACTCCATAATGATGTAATTTAAGAAGAAGGTTTTGGTGGTTGACAGTGTCAGAAGCCTTACGCAGGTCCACAAATAACCCAACAGGGAACTCTTTTTTATCAAGAGCTGCGTGAATCAAGTTAATCATACTAATAAGTGCATCGTTAGTGCTTTTTTGGGTCTGAAGCCATATTGACAAGAGCTAAGTATATTGTGTTTGGCTAGAAAAGAGTAAAGCTGCTTGTAGATTAGTTTTTCAAATATTTTTGACGTTAGGCAGGATTTATATTGGTCTGTAGTTGTTAACACCTGTGAGATCACCACATTTGTGGACAGGGGTTACTCTTGCTTTTTTTTAGAATGTCTGGAAAGGTTTGGAGTTCAAGTGACTTGTTGAAGAGCAATGCAATAGCAGGGGCTAAAGATCTGGAGGCTTTTTTGTAAATCAAAGTTGGCATCTCCTCGAGGGCACTAGACTTGGTTTTAAGGGAAAGGATTATCTCATTGACATCAGTGGAATTAGTAGGCTTTAGGTACAGAGACTGTGGATAGTTACCTGTAAGATAGTCCTTAACATCAGTACTGGAAGATGGAATATAATTTGCAAGGGATGATCCAATGGAAGAGAAGAACCTATTGAACTCAATAGCAGAATCAGAGGCTGAAAGCTGACCAACGTTATTGGACAGGAGTGTTGGTTTGTTATTTAAAATCTTCTTTGATCCCAATATTTGTGAAATTGTGCTCCACGTTTTTTTAATGTTGCTCTTTATTTGGGTAAATTTATCTTCATAGTATTTAGTTTTGGCTCGTCTAATTATTTTAGATAGCAATAACGAGTAATTCTTTGAGAATTCTTTAGAGACGGTTCCTAACCTATACTTCTCAAGGTCATGTTTTTTGTTAATGGATTTAAGTATTCCCTTTGTAAGCCTAGGATTGTTAAGCCTTTTGTTTGTGACTTGTTTTGTAAGCATAGGACAGTGGGTGTTATAAAGGCTAAGAGTTGTTTGAAGAAAAGATTGCACTGCTAGGTTGATGTCCCCTATGTTACCTAACTCGGACTCCCAGTTGACATTATCAGCAGCAGTTATAAAATTGTTTATAGCAGTTTCATTGTGCAGCCTAAAGCTTAACTCCCTTGACTCAAGAGGTGGTTTGATAATGTTAGTTAAGAGAAATGTGGGGTAATGGTCTGTAGTGCTATCGGTGATTATACCTGAAGTAAGCGGAGAGGTTATGTTGGTCCAGATGTGATCTAGAGTCGTAGCAGTACTATCAGTGATTCTAGTTGGTCTAGTGATTAAGGGTATGAGGAAGCAGGAATTCATACAGTTGAGGAAGCTAACAGCAGTAGGGTGTTCAGGCTCGCAGAGGTCAATATTAAAGTCCCCTGCGATAATTAGATGGTTTTTGTTCAGTCTGTTATCTAGTATAAGATTTCTAAATATTGGAATCGTTTTCTTTGAAGAATTTGGTTTACTGTTGACGGAATTCTCGAGCACACTGAAACAGTTTTCGATTTCTATATTTCACATTATCATCTATAATACATCGTATTAATATAACCAAATGTAGTGAAACCTAACTTAATCTAACCAAGCCTAACCTTAACCTAACCTAAGCATGGAAAGTGAGTAGATAATAGCATAAATTATGTAGTCGTTCTCAATCCATTTTGTTGAGGGGATCTCCACCCTAAGGACAGGTTGCAGTTTCACGTATGAATTTGGTTGATCAGATATAAAACACTATTTTATAAGTATAAAATATAACATCAACAAGGATTTGCATTGAGAGAAGTCTGTAGATTAATATAAATAGTGAACTAGATTCTAATTAAAATATTTATTTGTTAACTGACATATGCCATTAATTAATTTGCTTATTATAATTTTTAAAAGGTATGGTATTCGCCAGAAAGTAGAAGATATATGTGTCGAGGTTCTTGCACTGAAGGGACATAGGGAGAACTTAATGAATGAGAAGACCTTTCTGGAAGAGTCTAGTAAGAAGCTGGTCTCTGAGCGCTCAAAACTCCCTTAGTCACAAATATCGTTTTGAGATGAAGATGAACAATATGCCTATTCTTTATTTGTTTTGGATGCGGAATATAATTTCCATTTGCAATGCTATTTAGATTCATTTATGATAGTGCCTTAGTTCTCAATGTTAAATCAAAGGGGTAAGCACTTATAGACAGGAAGGAGACCTTATAAGGAATATAGAGCTCCTCTAGAAAATCAGTTGATGGTGAAAAGTTTTCTATATTTAGTAAATATTTACTAAAGTAGTTGCTTATGAGGAAAATCAAGCCTTCTCCAGCTAACAACCGGCCAAGGCCAAAGGATTAATTTTTCGGGCAGAGTTGTGTATATGGATGTCGCCTTGTAGCTGAATTTTGTTTTCAAAACATTATTAAACTGCATTTAATTTAAATTGTATTAAGTTATATAGGGTACCGTATCTTATTTTAATGAGTAATATGCTAGTACTAATTGGCTGATTTTTGTTATATGAATGTAATAGAAAAAATCTTTAAGTTGTATATTACATCATACATATATTGTTCGTGCAGTAAAGTGTTGTGCCAAAGTGATGTTCTTTTCATTTATCAATTTTTTCTTGCATTTGGACTCGGCACTTTGAAAATTGTACACGCACACACATCAGTGGCAAATCTTATAAAGGAAAAAAAGTACATAAGTTCTAACTTAATACCAAAAATTAAGCCTCCTTTACACGTGGAAAGTATGATTATGAAGTAATCATTAAGGGGAGAAATAGTATAGACAATGACTGTAGGTTTGGTTAGTAATACAAATTAAGTAGCAAAAGTGTCAACTATATAAAATATGAGTATGGTAAATGAAAAGAATATTGATCACCATCAATGTTAAACGCATTTCTCTTATAGTATACTAGGGGGGGGGGTACCCGCCATTCTCTGGGTCTGTGCCTGTCTACCCTCTCTTATCAATTTATTTCTATATATTTATCTATTTATCTGTCTACTTCTATACCTGTTGACTCCTCCCCCCCCCCCCTTTCTCCCCTCCCCTTGTGCTCTCTCTTAAGAAGCACTGAATCAACTATTATGTGTTTCTCAGACTGCTATTCTCTTCTTTTTTTTCTTTTGATTTTCTTGCAGTTTTTTTTCTTTTCATTACTAAGTGAACGAAAATCACACGAGATATTTCACATTTAACTCCACGAAAGTGGCATGATGGGGGTCTTCGCAATTGCTAATAATTATTAAAGCGTTTAATTTAGGCTTACCCTGATCAGCGCATGTCGTCCCTTACCCCAGACCATTCCCTCTGCAAATTTTGGTGATGATAATGTTTTCTGTTAAGAAAGTCTGGAGCTGCTTCCTTAGTTCGAATATTCGTGTCAACACTTCCTCTTGAAAACCATCTAATTTCCATGTGTTGAAGTCATGTGGCTTTTCCCAGGCTTTCACTTTTTTTTTTTTTTTTTTTTTTTTTTTTTTTTTTTTTTTTTTTTTTTTTTTTTTTTTTTTTTTTTTTTTTTTTTTTTTTTTTTTTTTTTTTTTTTGCAAAATTGCAGTGGGTGCTGCATAATAAAGTTGACTATATTAACTTGAACCTATATTGACCTATATTAGGTCAAGAACATATTTCAAATCCCCAATCATTGTTGGAATGAGAACTTCTCCACGAAGAGAGCAGTGAATCGTAATAACATCTGGATTTTGTCATTGAGAAAGAGTAATAAATCCATTTATTGAGAAATTCATTGAGGGTTGCTATGGTAGCGACGCCACTCATGTGTCTCTGTTTACAAATCACGTATCTACTGGGATGAGAAATTCGTTGGCTCCCTCCCTAAAGGGTTTGCCAGAAATTAATTTATTAGGTATTAATATACAGCATTTACTTGAGAGTAAATAGTAAATAAATGTATGCTGTATTGTAACGTTAGCCTGTAAATTTTTCAATGATTTGTCAGAAACAAAGTAATCAGTAGTGAAGAGCAGGTGGAAGCATCGGCAACGTTCATTACTGCCCACCGAATTCCTTGCCGCTACCAAACTTCCCCGCCTCAACAAAATTTAACAAAATTTCTCCTTCCACGTAAAGCGCCGCTGCTTAAATAACATCACATGAATAATTAGCCAAGCAAACTTTCAAAATGCTTCATTGTTTTATTAGTAGGCACATTAAAACGTTAATAACTTTTTTTCTTAATTACAAAAAAGGTGGAAAGTTGTACTTTTTTTACTGCAAGCTTTTGAAAATTTTCACAAAACCCATAACATGGGCTCGCGGAACCCCAGTGTTTCTTAGAACCCTGGTTGGTAATCACTGCTCCGGACTGACGCTGCGGGAACTGTTGTTAAATTAAATGAGAAGGGGAAGGGATCAAGAGAAAGCGCCAAGCCGTTACAACTATAAGGGATCAGGATAGGAATTTGGGATGGGACGAGGAGGAAGGAATGATGCCCAACCACTTGGACGGTCGAGGATTGAACGCTGACCTACATGAAGCGAGATTGTCGCTCTACTGTCCAACTCAAGTGGTAGGCATGAAACCAGAGAGATAATCTGAGTTTATTGCGTGAAACTGCATTTACAGATATTTTATGTTATATTATCTAACTAACAAACAGTACATTTAAATGGGTGGGTATGGTTTATATAATAGATATTATCTTGTGCACTGTTTATTAGCCAATAGTTTATAGGTTGTACATGTTATTAGGTCAACATCTTATGTTACTTTATAATCTGGCGACTTCAATGAGTGAGTATTTGTGATTTTACAGTGTTAAGTCGTTCTTTGGCAATGAAAATTATTTATATATAATGAATACATTATTTTTCAGACATTACAATAATGCCAGTCATATAGAAAGCTAAATATAAATATAAGCTTCAGTTATAAATTTCAACACTTTGTATTACTGAATAAATTTACAATTAATTCAAACACAGTTGCCATCAACCTTAACTATAAGCTCAGAGCTCTCACCATCTGTCGATAACTTACTCTTTCGTCTTTCTTTTTGTATTTATTAATGTTTGTCATGAAGACCAGGGAACACAGGAACACTAGCAGGTCTGCTGCACACCAATCAGGACAGGAACTCATTATAAAGGTATCTGGTCTGCTGCGACATCTGAAAGGCTGCATACCACGAGCAGTTTAGGGTCAGTAGGGTTGTGTGTTAAAGAGTCAGTAGGGTTGTGTGTGTTAAGGGTCAGTAGGGTTGTGTGTGTTAAGGGTCAGTAGGGTTGTGTGTGTTAAGGGTCAGTAGGGTTGTGTGTGTTAAGGGTCAGTAGGGTTGTGTGTGTTAAGGGTCAGTAGGGTTGTGTGTGTTAAGGGTCAGTAGGGTTGTGTGTGTTAAGGGTCAGTAGGGTTGTGTGTGTTAAGGGTCAGTAGGGTTGTGTGTGTTAAGGGTCAGTAGGGTTGTGTGTGTTAAGGGTCAGTAGGGTTGTGTGTGTTAAGGGTCAGTAGGGTTGTGTGTGTTAAGGGTCAGTAGGGTTGTGTGTGTTAAGGGTCAGTAGGGTTGTGTGTGTTAAGGGTCAGTAGGGTTGTGTGTGTTAAGGGTCAGTAAGGTTGTGTGTGTTAGGGTCAGTAGGGTTGTGAGTGTTTAAGAACAGTAGCGTTGGATGTGTTTAGGGTCAATAGGGATGTTCACTCTATGAGTGTGCGACAAGCCAGCTCGAGCAGGAAGGCCAATAACCCCAGAAACATCCCTGAGGAAAAGAGAACATATAATTAGCCAACATCTTTGAAGGACAACTTGTGTTTGGCATCATGTAAGCACACACGCACCTGAGCAGAGACTGAACTGGAAATACATTAAATGACAGTGACAAAGGACGGTGCATTCGACATGGTGTCCTTCAACCAGATCAGAGTTGGGTTGAACTCTCCGTGTTTCCTCGTGTTGGGCGACACACATTCCCACCCAACATAGCCCTCAGCTGCTACTCACAAACTAACAAAAATCAGGCAACAGCAACTGACGCTCCTCCTATTCACCTTGCTACCCCCTCCCCTTGCCTCTTTTTCAAACATTCCCAATCTTCTATCTCCTCCCCTTTCTCTCCCCTCCCCCTCTCTCTCAGAAAAATTATATAACGAAGCACTGACTCTGCAAAATATGTCTACGGACAACACAACACATATCAGGTTGTTCTTCATGAAAATCGGACGGTAAGGGGGCGGGGGTGTTAGGTGCCGATATTTCTTAAAGTGTGGCACTGTTGACGATCTCGACTAACCTATGTCACTCCCATACCCCACATACTTCACATGTGATAGCTGGATTCCCAAGTTGGGCCCCAAGCGTCTGGATTTCAATTTTGGGCAGAGATTCTATCATATAGATTAAGAGAGAGAGAGATTTGCATATCTTTCTTACCTACGAGATAAACTATGAAGACACCGTAGAAATCGTTGAGCTGAAGAGGCCGCAGCTGGTTGTGGAGGCCATTCACAGGGTCTTCCTTCTCACACCTGGTCAGGAACGGCAGCGATTTACGGTACAAGTAATCCAGGATGCCGAAGTCCCTCAAGCCTCTCACTCTGTAAAGCAGACCTTCTTTCTCATGTGTGTATACCATCGCTTTTGTATTTGTGTATGAGATGGCCCATACCTGATCAACCACGCTGTGACTCGTATGTCAGGCTGAGAACAGCCGTACTGAACAGCCTGGTTGATCAGACCAGCAACCAGGAGGCTTAGTCAGAGATCGGGCGGGTATATTAATCCTCGGAATCTTCAACAAGTAGTGGGTGTACTCACTTAGTTGTGCTTGCGGGGGTTGAGCTTTGGATCTTTGGTCCCGCCTCTCAACTGTCAATCAACTGGTGTACAGATTCTGGAGCCTATTAATTTAAGCTCTATCAATTCTACATTTGAAACTGTGTATAGGGTCTGCCTCCACCACATCACTGCCTAATGCATTCCATTTGTTAACTACTCTGACACTGAATTTTTTTTCTAATGATAAATGATAAAGCTACCCATTTTAAAGCTACCCATGAAATGATAAAGCAACCCATTTCATTATGTATGAGGTCAATTTTTTTTATTGGAGTGAAAATTAACGTAGATATATGACCGAACCTAACCAACCCTACCTAACCTAACCTAACCTAACCTAACCTAACCTATCTTTATAGGTTAGGTTAGATTAGGTAGCCGAAAAAGTTAGGTTAGGTTAGGTTACGTAGTCGAAAAACAATTAATTCATGAAAACTTGGCTTATTAGGCAAATCGGGCCTTGCATAGCAGGCTGAGAAGTGCGTTCTGGCTAGTAGGTACGACATATATATATATATATATATACACACAACGAGAAACGTACTCTGGTTCTGCGTGTATATTCACTCAATATTTGCTTTAGTTCTAAACTATGTTCAGGACTGAAGTATAACTGCTGGTTGGTCACTAAGCGTCAAGACCTTAATAATTCACTACAAAACCAAAGGGAAACTCACAGAGGATCGATTTTCTGCTTGAGCGGAGAGCCCTTCGGGAATGCCAGGCTCAGGCTGGAGGAGCCGAAGTAGCTGCCCTTGGCGATGTAGTGGCTACACTTCTTGCTCTGCAAAACCACACAACACTATCAGCACCATACACACCACCACCACCACCGCGCGCGCACGCACGCACGCGCGCACACAGGGTCTGGTAGCTGAGTGGACCGCGCGTGGGACTCGTAATCTTGTGGCCTGGGTTCGATTCCCGGCGCAGGCAGAAACAAATGGACAGAGTTTCTTTCACCCTGATGCCTCTGTTACCTAGCAGTAAATAGGTACCTGGGAGTTATAATAATAATAATAATAAACGAACATGAAAAACATGATTTTACGCAGAAATTAACTCATTTTATAACGAAATTGGGCAAAAATAGGTGGCAGGTGACGCCCAATCCATGGCCGCTTTTAGGTGAACACTTTTATCTTTACTGTGGTAAAAAAAAACATATTAGTGACCCCAGTGGAGAAGCTGGTAATCAGAACAAAATCCCTAATAACTTGGGAAGAACACCTTGCTGAATCTTGCGTAGGGATGTTTCTTAGGACGTTCCTATGAACCTTCCTCACACGGCACTTTTAAGAAGAAATATATGACAATTAGTTAGTCTAGGCCCAGAGCTGCACAACTTGTTTAGTAAGCAAGGCCCGAATTTCTTCACAGCGATTTTCGTTATTTTCAAATATTTCTCTCCAAATTGTTTCATATTTAATAATATTACTATGTTATAATAAGCATATTAATTATGGACTTAGGTTAGGCTAGATTAAAATTTCATGATAGTTTTGACAAAAAAATCCAATCATATATCCAACGACGAAGTTTATTTTATGAAAAATATTATAAAATTTAATAGTTAATGAAAATTCGTTTTGTTAGACAATTAACATTTCGGTAAGACATATACACCAGGAAGTGCAGCCTCTCTTCTCAGTATTTACTATTTGCCTGCAGAATCGAGCTATTAGCGCGATTCTGCAGGCAAATAGTAAATACTGAGAAGAGAGGCTGCACTTCCCGGTATATATTGTGTATATACACAGACGTTACTTAAAGCCTGGACGATGATCAAGTCTGAGGTATACTTAAAAAAATCAAAATTACAGTTGAAAAAAAAAATAGTTTTTAAGGAGCCAAGGTGGAAGAAGTTGACTTACCTTAGCAGTGATGGTATCTATCAATGCCTCTAAAGTCGGCCGATTAGTGAAGAAAGCCAGCTGCCCCAAGGTGATCTTGACCTTTGCGCCTTCGATGTCTTTGTTGATGACTTGTTGCTTCTGCAGGCGCTGGAGCAACGTTCCCGGCCTCGCCTCCTGCAGCCCCAACATTATCATCACTACTCCTTACATATTGTAACCATTTTTGTTAATGTAGATCAAGTAGATAAATGATCTTCGGGGTGTGTGTGTTCACGCACGCGCACACACACACACACACACACACACACACACACACACACACACACACACACACACACACACACACACACACACACACACACACACACACACACACACACATCCCTGGAAAACAGAAGAGTAAGGGGAGACATGATAACCACCTACAAAATTCTCAGGGGAATTGACAGGGTGGACACAGACAAACTCTTCAGCACGGGTGGGACACGAACAAGGGGACACAGGTGGAAACTTAGTACCCAGATGAGCCACAGAGACGTTAGAAAGAATTTTTTCAGTGTCAGAGTAGTTAATAAATGGAATGCACTAGGAAGTGATGTGGTGGAGGCTGACTCCATACACAGTTTCAAATGTAGATATGATAGAGCCCAGTAGGCTCAGGAATCTGTACACCAGTTGATTGACAGTTGAGAGGCGGGACCAAAGAGCCAAAGCTCAACCCCCGCAAGCACAATTAGGTGAGTACACACACACACACACTAACTCAAAAGGGGCCTGGCGGCTGAGTGGATAGCGCTCGTGTTTCGTAGGCCTAGGGACCGGGGATCGATCCCCAGCGATGGCAGAAACAAAAATGGGCTGAGTTTCTTTCACCCAGATGCCCCCCTGTTACCTAGCAGTAAATAGGTACCTGAGAGTTAGACAGCTGTTACGGGCTTCTTCCTGGGTGTGTATGCTTGTGTGTGTGTGTGAAAAAAAATAGTGGTAGTTAGTAACAGTTGATTGATTGACAGTTGAGAGGCGGGCCGGAAGAGCAGAGCCCAACCCCGCAAGTACAACTAGGTGAATACACACACGCACACACTGCTAGAGTTAGATGTGACAAAGGCTATAGGCCCGGATGGAATCTCGCCATGGATAGTAATGGAAGGAGCAGAAGCACTGTGTCTGCCACTCTCCATAGTGTATAACAAATCATTGGTAACAGGTGAACTGCCAGAAATTTGGCAGTGAACTAAAGGCCAGTGTCCCGAACTTGCATACCATGCAAGGGGTCCACCACCGCCCACAGGGTGCAGTATGGGGTCCACCACCGCCCACAGGGTGCAGTATGGGGTCCACCACCGCCCACAGGGTGCAGTATGGGGTTCACCACCGCCCACAGGGTGCCGTAAAGGGGTCCAAAATAAAGAAATTACTCCCAAAAGTTAATCTACTTGGAAGAATCACGCTGGTAAGTAAATGACTCACTTGTATGGCTGATGCTAAGAAGTTATCGGGGACCGTGAAGACTTTGATGTTAGTCTGGACCAGCTCCTCCAAGCTGTTGAAGGGCAGCTGCAGGATGGGCAGCGTCAACATGGCCATGAGGTTGGAGCGGTATACGGAGCCCAGGACGAACGCCATCAACAGCCATGTGCCGGTCAGCACGCGCACTGTCGCCGCCACTGGCCACCATGTTGACCCTGGCCACACAGTCATGCTTAGTCACTCACACTCAGGACACTCATGCTGTGACGAGTCAAGCTCTGGTGAGTATCAGCGGTGGTGAACATCAGCAGTGATGAGTCAAGCTGTGGTGGGTCAAGCTGTTAGCAGTCCAGTTGTGGTTAATGTCAGGGGGGGGGGTGAGTCTAGCTGTGATTAATGTCAAGGGGATGAGTCAAGCTGTGGTTAATGTCAGGGGGGGGTGAGTCAAGCTGTGGTTAATGTCAGGGGGGTGAGTCAAGCTGTGGGTAATGTCAGGGGGGTGAGTCAAGCTGTGGTTAATGTCAGGGGGGTGAGTCAAGCTGTGGTTAATGTCAGGGGGGTGAGTCAAGCTGTGGTTAATGTCAGGGGGGGTGAGGCAAGCTGTGGTTAATATCAGAGGGGGGTGAGGCAAGCTGTGGTTAATGTCAGAGGTGAGGCAAGCTGTGGTTAATGTCAGGGGGGGGGTGAGTCAAGCTGTGGTTAATGTCAGGGGGGTGAGTCAAGCTGTGGGTAATGTCAGGGGGGTGAGTCAAGCTGTGGTTAATGTCAGGGGGGGTGAGTCAAGCTGTGGTTAATGTCAGGGGGGTGAGTCAAGCTGTGGGTAATGTCAGGGGGGGGGGGGTGAGTCAAGCTGTGGGTAATGTCAGGGGGGGGGGGGGTGAGTCAAGCTGTGGTTAATGTCAGAGGAGGTGAGGCAAGCTGTGGTTAATGTCAGGGGGGGGTGAGTCAAGCTGTGGTTAATGTCAAGGGGGTGAGTCAAGCTGTGGTTAATGTCAGGGGGTGAGTCAAGCTGTGGTTAATGTCAGGGGGGTGAGTCAAGCAGTGGTTAATGTCAGGGGGTGAGTCAAGCTGTGGTTAATGTCAGGGGGGTGAGTCAAGCTGTGGTTAATGTCAGGGGGGTGAGTCAAGCTGTGGTTAATGTCAAGGGGGGTGAGGCAAGCTGTGGTTAATATCAGAGGGGGTGAGGCAAGCTGTGGTTAATATCAGAGGGGGTGAGGCAAGCTGTGGTTAATGTCAGGGGGGTGAGGCAAGCTGTGGTTAATGTCAGGGGGGTGAGTCAAGCTGTGGTTAATGTCAGGGGGGTGAGTCAAGCTGTGGTTAATGTCAGGGGGGTGAGTCAAGCTGTGGTTAATGTCAGAGGGGGTGAGGCAAGCTGTGGTTAATGTCAGGGGGGGGGTGAGGCAAGCTGTGGTTAATGTCAGAGGGGGTGAGGCAAGCTGTGGTTAATGTCAGGGGGGGGTGAGTCAAGCTGTGGTTAATGTCAGGGGGGGTGAGTCAAGCTGTGGTTAATGTCAGGGGGGTGAGGCAAGCTGTGATTATTATCAGAGGGGGTGAGGCAAGCTGTGGTTAATGTCAGGGGGTGAGGCAAGCTGTGGTTAATGTCAGGGGGGGGTGAGGCAAGCTGTGGTTAATGTCAAGGGGGTGAGTCAAGCTGTGGTTAATGTCAGGGGGGTGAGGCAAGCTGTGATTATTATCAGAGGGGGTGAGGCAAGCTGTGGTTAATGTCAGGGGGGTGAGGCAAGCTGTGGTTAATGTCAGGGGGGGGTGAGGCAAGCTGTGGTTAATGTCAGGGGGTGAGGCAAGCTGTGGTTAATGTCAGGGGGGGGGTGAGGCAAGCTGTGGTTAATGTCAGGGGGGGGGTGAGTCAAGCTGTGGTTATTATCAGAGGGGGTGAGGCAAGCTGTGGTTAATGTCAGGGGGGGGGGTGAGGCAAGCTGTGGTTAATGTCAGGGGGGGTGAGGCAAGCTGTGGTTAATGTCAGGGGGTGAGGCAAGCTGTGGTTAATGTCAGGGGGGTGAGGCAAGCTGTGGTTAATGTCAGGGGGGGGGTGAGGCAAGCTGTGGTTATTATCAGAGGGGGTGAGGCAAGCTGTGTTTAAGGACAAGTTCATAGGGGTCCGGTAGCTTATCAAGCCATGAAATGGTTCTTATACGGGACCAGTAAAGGCTTTCTTACTGACCAGTAATGGTTCTTACACGGGACCAGTAAAGGCTTTCTTACTGACCGGTAATGGTTCTTATACAGGACCAATAAAGGCTTTCTTACTGACCGGTAATGGTTCTTATACAGGACCAGTAAAGGCTTTCTTACTGACCGGTAATGGTTCTTACAAGGGACTAGTAAAGGCTTTCTTACTGACCGGTAATGGTTCTCATATTGGACCAGTAAAGCCCCCCTCCCTTTCCAGCCCGTTGTCGTCGTGAGGAAGCTTGGTAGACGGCCAAGTATGGTTTAGTATGTGTTATATTATAACACATACTAAACCAGGTTATGGGATTTTCTACTGAAAATTTTGATGGGTCTCATACTGATACTAAACCCAAGATTAGAATTTCATACTAAACAAAATCTAACACTTGATCAGGCTTATGTTGTTTTATACCATTGGTCTCATACTAGACTAGGTAATGTAATCTCATATTGGACCAAGTACTTATCATACTCAACCTGGTGATAAAATCTCATACTGAACTGGGTGATGGGGTCCTAATGTGAGCCAGTTGACGGTGTTCCCTCATACTGGGAGGTGGCTAAGGACATACCCTGAGACAAGGTAGCTGCAAGGGTCCAGAGGAAGGCCTGCCCTCCAGCGTCGTCACCTGGCCCCGGAGTGTCGTCACCTGGCCCCTGAGCGTCGTCACCTGGCCCCTGAGCGTCGTCACCTGGCCCCGAAGCGTCCCCCAGGGGCA